AAGATTTTCTGGTTATACATATGAGGCTCTGACTATTGTACTGTGAGATAGAATTCTATGCTTGGATTTAATGCAATCTCACTTACTGACACTGGACCCTCGCTAGTAAGCAGCGAGAACTTTAAATGAGATTGGTGGACACAGGGATTGTAACAATGGACCCAAGTGGTGATTCTGAGGATGAGAACTATCTGCAGGCTGACCCGACAGCACTTAACAACAACAAAAAGCAGCGTAAGCAACAATGGATGAATGAAAACCCAAAATCTCTGTAAATGTTCATTAAAATTAATAAAATTTAATAATAAAAAATTTTTTTAAAAAAAGCAGTGTAGATGCAGCTTTTCTGAATGGCAGTTAAACTATAAGCTGCTGATTGAAAGACTAGTCATTGAAACCACTCAGAGATGCCTCAGCAGACAGGTCTGGCATCTACTTCCAGAGGTCACAGTACCAGAGAACCTTATACTGTGGCCTTCTGTGCAGCACACAGGTCTGCCATGAGTCTAAATCAGCTCCATAGCAACTCATTATCCCAGGTCCTTTGCATACACATCTCTAATGCACATATAAACCCCATACTAGTGGCCTAGCAGTGAGGAATTGCGCTGACTACCCAGAGGCAAATGGTTCAAATCCGCCAGCTGCTTGGCAGGAGAAAGACGGGCAGGCTCCTCCTGTGTGATTTACTGCCTCTGAAAACCTACTGGAGAGTCAGTTCTGAACAGCAATCACTGTTTTACATACTGAGGGTCGTTAACTGAGGTTTTATAGCCAGTAAGTGGAAAAAGTGCACCTGACTTCAAAGATTGTACCTAGAACAGTACAGTGTGAGAAGTCCTCCAATGGGGGTAGGGCTGTCAAATCTGGGGAGGGTTACTTCATAGATTGGGAGACTTTTGAGACAGATACTAGAAAAGAAGACAGCAGCAGATGAGCAGTGAGTGGGATGCAGGCATAGGAGGGTCCCTGAATGACAGGAGGCCAATGTGATGGTTTTTGAGATGAGGCTGAATGGCAAATCAGTACCAGGTAACAATAGGGTATTGTGGTCACATCTGTGTTTTAGGAAATAAACTTGATAGAAGATTAATGAGTGGCACAAAGTGAAGGAGGGAGACCAGTTAGGGGCTTTGTTGAGTGCCATACTCATCATCTCTGACATATTTGAGCCCCTTGCTACAGTCACTATGTCAGCTCATCTCATTAAGGGTTTTCCTGTCCTCCATTGACCTTTCCAAACATGATGTCTTTTTCCAAGGAATGGCTCTTCCTAACAATATACCAAAAGTATGTGAGTTTCTTCATTCTTGCCTCCAAGGAGCACTCAGGTTGTACTTTCACCAAGACACATCTTTTTTTTAAATTTTTTTTGCTATCTATGAGATATCAGTCCTCTTCTCTAACACCCCAGCATACAGACAATAATTATTTTTATGTCATCCATCTTAAATGCCCAACTTTCAGATTCATAGCAAGTAATTGATAAGACCATGGATTGAATCGGGTGCACCTTAGTCTTTATACTGACATCATTGCTCCTAAGAACTATGGAGAGCTCTTTGATAGCATATTTACCCAATGCAACATACCTTTTTATTTTATGTAAAAAATTATACTATTTTTGGGCTTTTTAAAAAAATTCACATTGTGTTTCTTATGATCATTCACATGTATCATGTCTTTTAAAATTAATCACCATTATGGTTAGCACAGGAATCCAGAATTAAGGTTGCATAGAGAAGTGTACTTGGGGTGGGGGGGGGGGGGAAAAGGGATGGGGGAATTGTATACTAATGAAGGAATTTTTTTTTCCTTTTTCTTTTCAGAGAGGGGAGCAAACTGGTGGGGAGGGGTGGGCAGGGAGAAAAGTGCAGCAATGGATGAGTGGAAATCCAAAACCTCTGTAAATGTTTATTAAAATTAATAAAAAAAGAAGAAAACAAATAGAAGAATAGCTAGTAAAACATGTATGGGGACCAAAGGGGGAAATGGGTGGGAACAGAGGGGTGAGGATGCGTAGGGAGGAAATCACAGGTTCCCACAATTTGGCCGGGGGTGGGGGGAGGGAGGGGACTTAGAGGAAATGGGAAAGATCTGGCAGGGATCTGGGAAGACAGGATAATGATAAGCATGGTTGAATGATGTTTGATTTTATAAAACATAATGAATGAGAATGATTGTATGATACACCGTGAATGAAGGGTATATGAACTTTGAATATGTATACAAACTTTGTATGCAAACCAATGTAAAACTAAAAGAATTAAAATTAAAAGAACAAATCAATAAACTGCATAAGATGGAAAAAATATAAAAAAATTAATCACCATTAATCTATACCCAATATTACCCCATCTTTTCAGATCCCTATTGTATCCTTCCTAATTCCTTGGCTACTGGTACTAAGGAAGAAAGTTTAAAACAAGTACTTAACTGTAGGGAAAAATATATAGATTTCCAAACATAGTAGACAGTGTAAAGAGCTTTTGATGAACATTGAATGTCATGTAAAAGGACAGAAGAATAATAACATTTCAGACTAAGGAAACTAGTAGAATGGTCACGCCATTAAAAAAAAACAAAACAGCAAAATTCTGTTGGGGGGAGTTTAAAAGGCTTAAGTTCAAAGTCCCTACGTCTTGCTGGAGGAATGAGCTATTAAACTTGTGGCGTGTGCACTGGTCATTAGAGTCCTAACCAACCTCGGTTGCTGGAACCATTATTGCATCAGCTGCGTTTGGCATGGTCTCTAAATTTCATTGAGTTTTCCCTGCCCCTTATGCAACTCCCTTAGAATTCCATGATCTCTGATTCCTACAGCTGGAAATAAGTTACAGGTCTTTGACCCTTTTATTAAGGCACTTACCGAGAGAAAAAACAAACAGCAAAAACTTGTTTCACTTATTATTTCTTGAGATTTTTCATGCGCTGGCTGATTTGATAGTAAAATAGCTCATTCAGCATATTAGATAAGGTTAAGGCACCGCAGATTCCACCATTGAGTACTGTAAGTCTCATTCCAGCATTCAAAACAAATTGATTCCACATCGTAATATCCCAAGTGTGTGTGAGGGGAACTGTGCTCAACTTAGTTGTCTTTTAACTGTGTTTTCTGAGAAAGTTTATAAAGCGGATTAGTCTTGCATTTCAACAATTTGCAAAACATGTTTTGTTTCGTTGCATTGATTGCATTTCCCACCATGTGACAACAGGCTTCCCATGTGATCTGTTTCCCATTTCCATCATTCTTATGTCCTGTCCCTTCCTGCCTTCTAGATTTGTCTGTTGACAAATGTGGCCCTTCTGGCCTTGTATAGTTGATTGCTCAAGAAATATACTCTTCTTTGCTGTTACTATTTACCTACATAGATCTGTCTATTGTTTGGCTGAACGTTGACTCAACATGGGTAAATTCAGTTTTATACATAAAGTGTCTAAGGGCCATAGTTTCGTGGATTCCAGACTCTGTCAAAGGGAGCTCTGGTGGCTTAGTGGTAAGGAATCATGCTACCAAACCAAAAGTATGTGATTCAAACCTGCCAGCTGCTCCACAGAAGAAAAATGGAAAATTTCCTCCTTTGTTACATATTGTCTCCACAAACTTGCTGGAGAATCAGTTATGTGGCAGTTCTAACTTGTCAGTACTCAGCAACAACAACTATCACATTAGGAAGTCTGTTCTTTCTTGTAATTTTTGAATTTTGCTCCATATATTATGATCCCAATCAGAGCTTTAAGTCGTGGTGGCCAGGCATTATCTCATTCTTCTCGTCTCAGGATAGTGGACACTGAGGTTAGTCCTTTGGACTAATTCTTACCTTGAGTCTTTGATTTTCTTCACTCTTTTTTGCTGAAAGAGACCGAGAGCTGCATGTTAGATGGCTGCTCATGAGCTTTTAAGATACTAGCCATACTCACCAGAGAAAGAGTTAGAACACTATGCTTTGTTACGCCGGCTGACCTTGATGTCCTCCATGGTGATGATCCTGAGTCCCCAGGCCGAGGCATTCAGTCTCTGAAGGTGTTTGGTTAAAGCTAAGAAGTTCCCAACTTTACCCTGTCTGTGCTCTCCTATAATGCACAGACATACTTGCAGCACATATTTAGGAGCTGTGGTGGCTTCGTGGTGAGAAACACTGGCGCTGCCAACACAAAGCTAAGCCCCTCAAATATTCCGACTCCTCAGCAAGAGAGAGACAGGTAACTTCCTCCTGTAGTTTACTGCCTCTGACAACCCCCTCAAGGGTCAGCTGCAGGTTGGTTCTGATTGGATGGGACACGACAGCACCATTCCAATCTTCCCATATTTTAATCGCTTACTTTTTTTGAAAAATAAACAGAGTTTATGATTTTTGCTAAGAAACCAAATTGCAAAAACTATACCAACTTTTACCCATGTAATTTGAGTTTCCACAGTAAAAGGAAATGTATAAGACTCCCAAATGTGGTGTTTTGTGGAAAAGTTTAGTATTATTAGCAATTCTTCAAGAGATTGACTAGAGGAAAACAGATATTATTTCATTGCCATCTGCGCTATGTTGCAGTCAGACTAAGCAAGGACTAGAACAGAACTCACCCCTGGGGATCAATCCTCAGCCAAGCAATAAACAGTTCTCTTAGGGGAAAGAGGGGAGCAGTTATAGCAGATCAATGGCAGAGGTATGATATAGACTTGGTCTCCCAGCTGCAGACTTAGTTAAATGTTGGGGCTATATGATTAGATATTATTGTCATGACAGGAGTCCAGGACGAAGGCTGCACGGTGGAGTAGAGTTGGGGGGAGGGATTGAATAACAATGAAAGAATTTTTTTCTTTTACTTTTCAAAAAGAAAAGCTAATTGGGGGGGGGGGATGAGCAGGGAGAAAAGTGCAACAATGAATGGATAGAAATCCAAAGTCTCTGTAAACTTTCATTAAAATAAATTTTAAAAAGATTTTTTAAAAATGTTGGGAGCTATGTGCATGCATATAAGTAAACCCATCTTATATCTTTCAGGTGGCTTCTTCTCTATTATGCGGTGTTCTTCTCCATGTTGAAAGCTTCAGCCCATACGGTGGAGCTAAATGATATGTTTGGCCATATTCAGTCACCAGGCTTCCCTGACTCATATCCAAGTGATTCTGAAGTGACGTGGAATGTCACTGTTCCAGAAGGATTTCGGATCAAGCTTTACTTCATGCACTTCGACTTGGAATCCTCCTATCTTTGTGAATATGACTACGTGAAGGTGAGACCACCAAAGACTCCCAATTGGGCCTGGCTCTCTGTGGGGACTTAGAGCTGTCTAGAGGATCTCGACACTGTCCTCTCAGGGCAGCTTTCTAGAGGAGACACACGAGCTCGGTCATAGCCTGCTGAATGAAGCTTGGGGTCGGTATACTTAGGACAGGCTGAGTAGGTGGAACTTGAAAGGAGTCCAGAGGAAACTGAGGCTGGTGAAGTGGGACTGAAGCAAATACAATCTCTTCTTTTCCTTTCAGTTCTAGAAGTTGTTGTTGTTTTTTTGGTGTGGGTTTTTTTTTGTTTGTTTGTTTGTTTTTAATTTCCACTGGCTATCCTCAATGGCCCCTTTTACTTTCATGAAGAGAAGTTAGAGACCCCACATTGTTGTTATGTATCCTTGAGTTGGAGGTTTCAGTCTTTACTACTAAGCTTCCAGAGGGCCTTAGAAATTCCATCGTTGTTGTTGAGTACCTGTTAAGTCAAAATAGACCTGTAGCTGACCATCCACAGAGTTTTCAGAGTCAGTAAATCACACATGAGGAGACTGCCCATCTTTCTCCTATGGAGCAGCTGGTGGATTAGGATCATATGTCTTTCCTCATCCCTAAACCACCAGGGTTCCCTCAGACTACAATTTAGCCATAGTCATGTCAAAATTTGAAGCATTAGAAAGCATTACCTGGTTCTGCAAGTTATGAATAATAGAATATTTGTAGAGCACAGGGTAGATGGAAGTACAATGTAGGAGACAAGTTTAGAAGGGTGGACTGTGGCGTAATTCTGAAAGCCTTTAATTGTATGATAAGGAATTTGGATTTTATCAGCAAAAGATTAGGAGATTACTATCAGGAGGAGGTGTAAAGTGTATCTGGGGAGAGGTACACTTATAGAGATTTTAGTGAACATTCCACTTGGGGGAAAAAAGTTGTTCACTTTTTCAAGTAGGGCTGATAAAAGTTAAAATATTTCTGAAATATCAAGTTTAAGGTTCTGTTTACTTGAAAGAGATGTGGACACCTAACCTCTCATGGTTTCATGGGAGAGTTCTCATCAATCTAGAGTTGTTACTGTCATTGTTGTTAGGTGTTGTGGACTTGAGTACTACTCATCGCAACCCTACGAACAGCACATCTGAACCCTGTCCAGTCCTGTGCCATCTTCACAATCTCTGACACACTTGAACCCATTGCTGCAGTCACTGTGTGAATCCATCTATTTGAGGTCTTCCTCTCCTTCACTGACTCTCCACCTTTCCAAGCATGATATTCCTCTCCAAGGAATATAGCCTCTCCTAACAACATGGCCAAAGTATGTGAGACGAAACTTCATTGTTGCTTCCAAAAAACACTCTAACTGCACCTTTCCCAAGACATATTTGTTTGTTCTTTTGGCAGTCCATGAGATATTCAATACTCTTCTCCATACCACAGTTCAAAGGCATCAATTCTTCTTCTGTCATCATTATTCATTGTCCAGCTCTCAGATGCATTGTAAGTGACTAAAAAGACCATGACCTGAATCAGGCACTCCTTAGTCCTCAAAAAAACATCATTGCTCCTCAACAATTTGGAGAGGCCCCTGACTACAAATTTTCTAGTACAAATGTCTGCTGGTCTCCTGACTGCTGGTACCAGGTGTATTGATTGTGAATCCAAGTAATATGAAGTCTTTCACAGTTTCAGTCTTTTTCTTTATCATGATGTTACCTATAGGTCCAGTGGTGAGGATTTTTGTTTTCATTACATTGAAATGCAATCCACATTGAAGGCTGTTGTGTATAAACTTATGCTGCAAGTGCTTTAAGTCCTTCTCACTTTCAGCAAACAAGGTTGTATCATCTGCATAATGAAGGTTACTGATGAGTCTTCTTCCAATCCTAATGCCACATTCTTCTTAATAGAGTTCAATTTCTCAGATAAATTGCTTAGCACACAGATTAGTTAGGTATGGAGAAAGGAGGCAACCCTAACACACACTTGTTCTAATTTTAAACCACACAGTGTTCTCTTCCTCTGTTCACAACAGCCTCTTAGTCTAGGTATAGGTTTCTCATAAGCACAAATAAGTATTCTAGGATTCCCATTCTTCTCATCGTTAGCCACAATTTATTATAATCCACATAGTCAAAAGCCTTTAAAAGTTCCAGAATAGGGTTAGTGGGTTTTTAGTATGATTCTGGTCTAATTTTCACACATTCAATAAACGCTAACCTTATATTAACCAGACTATTTGATCAACAGCAAAGGAGGAAGTTTACAAGATATTTTTATGTTTAAATTACATCTGGCCTTTGTATAAACCTGAGACAGGTACTACTTACTTTCCCATTTCACAGGAAGAAGAATAAACTTAAAAGGGTCTGGAAATTTATCTACTGTTGAATACCTTGTAAGGAATGAACTAAGGTCTCAAATCCAATGTGTCTTAGATATTTAGAACAGATACTAGAAATATCACTAATGGCTAGATTTAGCAAAAAATAGATTTTTTTCTCTCTTACAAATTATGTTGTTGTCATGTGTCTTAGAGTGGGAACAACTCATACATGACCCCTAGAGGATTTTCAGAGGCTGTCGGTCATACTGGAGTTGATTGCCTATCTTTCCCCAGTGGAGCAGCTGGTGGATTTGAACTGTGCGCCTTTGGATTGCCAGCACAGCTCCTTACCACTAGGCCACCAGAACTCTCTAGAAGCCCAAATTCAGAACACTGAGGGTAGAGGAAGACTTTCTCTCTATCATCTTTGGAGGAAAGTATGTGTCTCTTTGAGCTTCCCATTTGGGATGATCTTTCTGTAACTAGACATCTTTTTTATCATTTCTGCTCATCACTTGCTTATTTAATCTCTTTTGCAAAGAAAATTGACTCAAGAGGATTCTTCCACTAGTTCTGTTCATTAACATAACAAAAAACAAGGCTTTCTCAACTCAAAACACACCTACGCTAATCCTACCTCATTAACCTAGCAAAGACAACCACATGCATAAGGGTTAAGATTTACAACACATTTTGGAGACCTCCAATTCCATTCCCAACACCATGTCTTGTGATTTTGAGTCTTGTGCTCTGGTCAGACAAAAAAAATAAAAAATCTCACAAACTGTCCTTCATTGAGCCCCTGATACTGCAAAATCCCACCAAGCCCAAATAGCTATAATTCAGTCTGTTCCAACTCATAGCAAACCTTCCATCCAAGGCTATAAATTTTTACTGAAGGATTCTGCCCATGTTTCTCCCATGGAGCAGCTGGCAGATTCAAATAGATAACTTCTACTAACAGTCCCATACATAACACACAACGTCACAGGGAGAAGGGAAAGGAGGCCCTCTGAGTGGGGTGGTGTACCTCTGCTCTGTCAAGTCTCATTTTATGTAGTATATGTTTAGTTGCCACAAAGCATCACAAAGTTTTTGGAACTAACAGCTTTGCAGAATGCATGTTCTACGGCAGGATTTCTCAACTTGGGCACTCCTGAAACTCTGAGTCTGATATCTCTTTGCTGACAGGAGCTATCTTGATCATTGTAAGATGATTAGAGAGGGTGAAACCAAGTTTCTCTTTGGAAGCTAGGATTTTGAAGCTCTGTCTCACATACTTTGGGCACTTGGCCAGGAAAGACCAATCCTTGGAGAAGGACATCATGCTCAGAAGAGTGGAGGGACAGTGCAGGAGAGGAAGATCCCAGATAAGAAGGATTGATACAGAAACTGGGGCAATGAGCATAGTTGTGTCAGAATTAGTGAGACTGGTTTGGGACAGGGTAGGGTTCAGAGCTGCTGTGCTGCTGTCACTATGGGTTGCAGGTGACTTGACAGCACATAAAAACAATAACAATCTATATAAAGCCAGTAGCAGCTCCTCCTTCCCCAATTATGACAGCCAAAAAGTGTTTCCAGACATTGTCAAATATTCCTGGAGGAGTAAAATTACTCCATTTGAATAATGAGATATTGCCCTTATTAGAAAATCCCGTGTTAGAGAAATATGGATATATATTGTGTTACTATTAGATGTCGTTATGTCGATTCTGACTCCAAATGACCCATATACAGCAGAATAAAACATAACTCCTTTGTATAACATTAATCCTTTGCATTCTTGACAATAAGGATGCAAAAGGCCTAGTTTCTGACAAAGAAAAATTGTTGTTGTTGGTTTTAGGTGCCATTGAGTCCAGTACAGCCCATAGCAACCCTATAAACAACAGATCTGAACCCTTTCCTATCTTGTGCCTTCCTTACGCTTCCTGACACATTTGAGCCCATTGCAGCAATCACTGTGTCAATCCTTCTAGTTGAAGGTCTTCCTCTCTTTCACCAACTCTCCACATTTCCAAGGATGATGTCCTTCTCCAAGGAATAGCCTTTCTGAGCAACATGCCTGATATATGTGAGATGAAGCTTTGACGTCTTTGCCTCCAAAGAGCACTCTGGCTGCACTTTCTCCAAGACACTTTTGGCTTTTCTTTTGGCAGTCCACGGGACAAAGAGAAATAACCCTAGACAAATAGCTGTTGCAAGTGAGAGAGAAGAGTAATGGCTTACAGATCAAGAATGAGAGGAGACAAAATTAGTTTTTCTAAGAAATGATATGGGTTGATAATCTAGATCTATGGACATTTTCTGTAAATTCCTTAAAAATAAAGCTGATTTCTCAGGAGTCACAAAGATTCTCAAGATGTTATTTAGAGACCTTCATTGTCCTTCATCCTAAAGTGAACTTTCTAATATATGAAAGTCAGTTATGCCTTCCAGGATACAATCTATCCACTGTTAGAATCAATTCTAGGGTAAAGTTGTAGATGTGGTTATTAGGTTAAGCTCCCAGCTACTGCCAGTCATGAAACTTTGTTGTTCTTGAACAACTGAACTGAAGAATAAGATAATGAAATAAACAGTGGGTCCTATGGAATTGAACAAGCTCTAGGTGGACTTCTTCATCAAGTTTTCTTCCCATTTCACGTATATTAACTATTTAGAAAGTTTGACATTGGAAACATTTGC